GATGGACACTACTACAAAGGGGGTTCCTCAACAATAAATATCCGTAAGGCAACCATGAGGGGATGGAGTACACCGGTGAACACATCGTTCACAAACACATACAGGTTACGAGCCTGCTATCGTTCCACTGGACTGTCTAAAATAGTCTGTGGTCGTCATCTATACTCCGCTAGATGACTGGATCATCGTCTACATCGAGGCCTCTCATCATTTTATCACACATCGTCTATTTCATCTACCCATGTTTTACCCCAACATTTTTATAGATATAAAATACATATTGTAACGTCTCGATTCTCAGGTATTAATAATATTAAATCTTTTGAGTTTTCAGGTGTACTCGACGAGTTGGTCTCCCTACTCGTCGAGTAGTAGCGGGTTGGTCCGCGAAGTTTAATGACCTACTCGCCGAGTCTAGAAGGGGACTCGACGAGTAGGAGCTGGCAGATAGAACCCTAAATCCTAAGGTTGTGCACCCTATTTAAGGAATCATAAGCCTCCCTTGGCCTCTGGACAGTCCTTTGAGAGTCTAGAAAACCCTAATCCGTGTGGTGTTTCTTCCTTGGGTGTTTTAAGCTTTGGAGAGTGGATCTTGGAGGAGAAGAGCTTGGAGGGCAAGAGGCTAGGAGAAAGGAAGCAGAAAGCTACCTCAATTTAGCATCATTGAAGGTATTAAGTCGCCACCTTCACTTCATTTTTCCTTCTAGATCTCTTGTAGTTGAGATTTAGGGTTTTTATGGCTTGATTGAGAGGTTTATGGGGGATATGAGCTAGATCTGAAGTTGTAACTTCAGATATGGACCTTCCTTGGGTTCTAGAGTCATAAAGCTCTGAGATTGGCCTTGATTGAAGCTTTCCTTGAGTTTGAAACCCCATTATGAGATTGGATTTGTCCTTAAGAGCCTTTTTAGCCATGCATGCATGTAAATTTTGCAACTTTACGTGAAAAGTATGCCTTAGAAGCTTGGATCTGTAATTTGGAGCCACTGCATGGCTTAAAAGAGTCTGTATGGCTTAAGGACTGTAGGGACTCGGCGAGTCGCAAGGTTGACTCGGCGAGTCATATGAAGATAGGCCTGGACTCGACGAGTTGGATGAACAACTCGGCGAGTCCGATGAAGATTGTCGTAGACTCGACGAGTTGCAGGAACAACTCGGCGAGTCGGTTAAAGTTTTCCCCATCTGAGGATGCATGCGATCTTGTCAAGTTGCAAGGAGGGAAAACTCGACTGGTGGTCTTGAATTTCGATCAAACCTTAGGAACTCGACGAGTCACCTCCGTGACTCGGTGAGTGGGCAATATTCCGAGAAACTCGGCGAGTCACTAGAACTACTCGGCGAGTTAGGGTTAACATGGACTGTTGACTTGAACTTGACTGAGGTTGACCAGGGTTGACTTTGGGGGTAATGACTGGTTATTGTATGGCACTTTTAGGTAGTTGAGTTGGAGCAGCACGTGGGGCATATTTGGTCGCAAAGTGTCAGCTCAGCATTCGTGACAGGTGAGTCTTCTCACCATGCCTATGGGTCTAAGGCACCAAGGCCGGCTCATTATGTGATTATGTTATATGTGCTATTCCTTCTGTGATTTGATATGATTTGTGATTATGTGTTTTGCATGAAAGACCTCGGGGGGAGCCCGTGGCATTGGATATAAGACCATGTGGGGTAGCCCATGGCATTCCTAGGTGAAGACCATGTGGGGTAGCCCATGGCATTGGACATAAGACCATGTGGGGTAGCCCATGGCAGTCCTAGGTAAAGACCATGTGGGGTATCCCATGGCATTCTTGCTGAATCGTATTACATGGTATATGTGGTATGTTCATAGCTTTATCTGCTATCAGAATATGTGTAGGGGATTGTGCGTGGTATGCTCTGGGAAACTCACTAAGCTTTTCGCTTACAGACTGTTGATTTGTTTCAGGTACTTCTGAGCCCAAGGGCAAGGGCAAGACGTGATGACGTGTCGTGCACTCTATCCCTTTTTGATTGTTTGGGACCCTCTGATGATTTCAAAAAGAAAAGCAATGATGTAATAAATGTGATTTGGAAAAACAAATGTTTTGGGAATCTATGGTTTATGAGGATGGTTTGGTTAATTGAAAATGAAAGAAAAAAATCTTTGTAAAAATTGGGTTGTTACACATATACATTTTAAATCATTTAACACATGTATAAAAATATTCATCCAGCATAGATATCAAGTAAATAGATAATATGCACACGTAGCACGTAATTAATATAAAATACTTCATATCTATGTGTAAGATGAATGTACCTATGCACTCACCTGTTAAGGTGGTGATTCAGAACTCAGACAGCGCTTTACTTCTTTTAATTTATTTTTCTTCGACGAAACCTAGTATCATTACCACTAGATTTCAGTCTAATATTTATTTTGACTAATTATTAGTCTTAGAATCATCATTTAATCAAAGTCTACTTTCATGATCTATCAAGTAAGGAACAACCAGGTAGGATCATATCGGAGGTAGGGTCCATTTGGTATACGAAGTATACTGTTTAGAAATCCCACTTTAAACACCTCACTACATCACAGCCTAGACATCATCCCCGTAAGTAGATCAATTAGTATAACGACTTTGAATCACTGATAAATCTTATTTATATGGTCATAATAACGATATTATATTTAAATATAAGCTATATTTAAAGTAGGGTAGGCGCATCTTACTTACAGCGGGTTTTGCTAAAAATCGGGCTCCGCTGGAGCAGATCTTCTCAGCCGAAAAACTCTTTTTCTCGGAGCCATCGGGCGCTCCGGGGCTTCCTTCTAGTGCTAGGGAGGTTTCCTAGGCTTTGGGGGGGGGGGGGGGGGGGGGGTTAGGGAGGCTAGAGAGAGAGAGAGAGAGTAGAGAAAGAAAGAAATGGATTTGAGGTGTGAGAAATGAGGCTGCCTCGCACCCCCTTTTATAGGGCCGAGGCTTCGGATTATGCTGGGCGTACCCTCGGTGGTACGTGTCTGCCTTCGCATGGAGCATCGTGGCTTCTTCTGGACCGAGGAATATGAGACCGCTAGGCGTACAGGCTTCGTACGCAAAGCGTACGCATTACACGAGGCTTCCGAGATTCTACGTTGGGTGTGCGAGGACCACGTGTTAGCATCCGAATGCGAGACCGTGAAGATCAAGCACGGATCCGGATCATGCCACGTCATCACCCTTCGCAATAGCCCACCTCCAACTTCAAAATTCCATAACTTTCGCATATGAGCTTTGTTTTTGAGGTTCTTTATACCCACGCGTAGGTAGAGACGTACTCTACAACTTTCGTTTAGACTCTGTCGCCTAGTTTTGACTTTATTTTTAAAGTTATATTTTTAACAGACAGGGACATGAAAAGTCCGTTAAAAATTCATAACTTTGTCATCCGACGTCCGTTTTCGTCTGTATTTACCGTTGAACTACTATTAACGAGACCTTTGATTCTCGTTTAGGTTGTGTCGGCTAAAAATCGGTCGATCTACTATTCGAACTCTGGGATACATACTATTACGCCGAAACTTAGAAAAATCATAACTTCCTCATACGAAGTCAGATTTGGGCGTTCTTTTTATGCACGCTCTCGGTTTAACGTATGCTACGACTTTCGTTTAGATTGTTAAGGATAAAAAGCACTCTATCGTAAATTTACTATTTACGTCACGCAGTGTCGTACCGGTTTTGTCGCGAAACTTCGACAAACCATAACTTCTTCGTTATAACTCGGATTTCAGCGTTCTTTATATCTCCGGAATCCTTGTCACGACCAATACAACTTTCTTCATAGATATCGGGTTTATCTAACATTTTATTTTTGACGTTTATTTTCATTCTTGATTTATTATATCTTTATAGACAGGTATATAAGCACATAAAATCACATAATTCACATAATATTCAAGTAATTCATCATTATTACTTCAAATGAGTTACAATGGTTGACCTTGACTATTACATCATCATACTAATGCTTAGCCCAGAAACATGGGCGTTACATGCTCCATCATCTCTTAAATTCATTTTTCGAATATTGGAAAGATCCCCGACTATCTTGAAATATTTGACCACCAAAACTTGTGGGTTTTGAAAAACTCGAGCCATTCATGTCAAAATTAGTCTCAGTTTGACCATGTACCTTTGAGGGAATATTAACATCCTCATTATCTGCCTCATGATTGACATGAAGTTGGTCATTCCCGAGAACATCACCCTCAATATCTCTCTTTTGAGAAGAGTCTCAACCGAATAAGCATGCACCGGTTCTTCATCCACACTTCCTTTTCCAACCGATAGAATTATCCTTTGCACTACCCACTTCGTCTTCCCCATGACAGTGATGTTCATCAACCTCATCATCATTTTCTGAATTATTGCCAGAATAACCCCATTTCCTCCTTCGAAAAACCCCTCGACTTGACATCATCTTCTACAAAACTTCCTTCGCCGGCCACATCAGGTTCCAAAGGAGCCACCTCTTTCACATAAACATGATATTCCTTTCCTTCAATTACCACACATAACGCTTTTTGAATGTTTGACATAACACTATTCCTAACACAAACTTTCCCAAATGACATACAATTGATCTCATCATCATCATCATTTGTAAACAACACTGATCCCCAAACATAACTTGTCTTCTTGAAACATATGGATTCCATGCACACATAGGAAGTCCGATAATTTCAAACCAAACAACCCTATACGAAATCACAAAGTATTTTGCAATAGGACGGAAAATCTGATACCATGATAGAGATGATATTTTCCCATGAATCAAAATTTTACATTAATATATATATATATATATATATATATATATATATATATATATATAGACACACACAATTACAATGACATTGGGCTAATAACAATAAACTAACTAACTATCTAAATACATATAAAATGGGATAAAAGTACTTATATATTGATAAGTTTGACTTAAAACTCGAATATTGCTATCAAGAATACTTACGTTACGATTGAACGTTAGAAATGGATTATAAAATTGATAATCGTGAATTGTTGGTAGTTGGTACAATGTTTGTAGTGATGGATCGAAAAAGTTCACTAGATGGCACCATATACATACACTTGTTGGCTATGAAGACGTATATAAATGTTGTGTGGGGGATACGATTAAAGAAGAAAAAAAAAGAAAAAAAAAGTAACGCTTCCCCTCGTTATTATCATGAATATCAAGTAAAAGACACAACGATTTTAAATTGGCAATGGGGTCATTCTTATATGCATAAGTTACTTGAAGGCTAAGCTATAAAAAACGTCTTTTTGTTCTTCTTTTTATTTCATTTTCTGCTAATAAAAGTGACCACAAAGAAAGAATGCCCGAGAAATAGGAATTCGATCTTGTTGCAAACTCACAAGGGAGAAAGTGTGTGATTCTTAAAGTGCAAGAATTCAAATCAAGAGTAGAGGGTTTATCTTAAGCAATACTCAACGCCTGCTATAGAGGTATAATTCATGCTGCTGGATTTATAGTTTAGAGTTATCCTCAAAAAACTGCAAGATACTTTTATGATTCAATAAATCAATGGAATATGTTTTTTTTTAAACCATGTAACAACGGTTATTCTTACTATGTAACATATTTTTCTCATATAACATAGCTTTATAAAAACATATAAAACTATAATTCATTGATACTGGATGCACAACTTGGTCTTAATATATAGTATATGACCATAAACATATTACATATATCAAATAAAGATATATCATTTAAATGAGTTGCTATTAGCATATTTAACATTATGTAAAATATATATTTGGAAGTTATTATTTATCCTTCAATATAATTGTTTGCAAAAATAAAATATTGAATACCCTGAAATCTTAGAATAAGATAAAATAAATAAATAAATAAATAAATAAATAAATAAATAAATATTTTGTAGTTCAAAAAATAAATAAAATTTAAGTTAAAGTTATAAAATATTTTAAAAACATTAATGCTATTGAAATTCTTTTAAGTAAAAATATTTTATAAATACACATTTTTTCCATGGAATGAGAAATGCTCAATTATATTTTTTTTGTCAAACAAATATTATTTTATTTATTCCGATATAATGTTTGTCTCTTTCATCGTATTCAAAACACTAACTTATTAATTGATGTGCTTAGTTTTGTACAATATTCCATAAAGTATCGTTATATTATTACACCAATATACATAATAAAATTAAATTAAAAGGTTACAATTCAATAAAAAACATTTATATTTCAGCAATACAGAATACATTTTTATAAAAATATTAAATTTATTATATAAAATATCATATTTATAAACAAACATTGTTAATGCCAAGTAACTATAGATAGAAAAATAATTATAATAAAAAACCTTTTGTAAAAAAAGCTAAATTCTTTATGATAATGTAAAATTAAAACCACAAAATAACGATATATCTGTATTTTCATATATTACCATACAGTTACATTTAAAAAATTAATTAATACTATATTTTACTAATTTGTATCATAGCTATACAAATACTGTATAAATATGAATGAATAAATTTCTTTAATAGAACACCCTTTACTATAGATACAAAAAATATAAGATACAAAAAATATAAAAGTAAGTATCATACTATATAAATATAAAAAATACAAAAAATCAGATAAATACATTTGCCTATTGACCTTTATAAACTCTCTTTGAATATTTTAAATTTTCCTTGACGGTTTGCGAATATGCTAGACTTTCCTCAAAATATTCTACTAGTTCTTGCCTTCCATTTTCATTAATCTATGCAATTTTACCATCTAAACAACTCTTGAGATCGTGAATTTAGGGTTTCAAGTAGAAATTAACATAATCTTTGATACAAATCTTGGAACGCAGGATCCGTGTTAGTGATTAGTGATTTGTTTCAAAACCTTACTCGGGTGATTAGCAGCTGTATCAATTTCAAGTTCACAGTTTCTGATCGAGCAACAGATAAAGTAATTGCGTATACTAGAATCTTAATTCATTTGGCATTGGTGCGAGAATTTGTTAGAACAGTAATGTTTGGTGGTATTGCACATCACCAGTTTGACAAATTGCCGAAACGAAGTCTACATCTGCGTTAAGCCAGCTCCAATGGCGGAAAGCAGTGGGAAGTATGAAGACGCGAAAACTTCTGCTGAGATGTTACGGAATACGCCGTCGAATATAAGGAGGTTAGCTGATGAGATACAGCAGTGTGAGGGGCGGCAGAAGTATCTTGCACAGACTGGAAGCCCGTCGGATGGGGGTGATGTTAGATGGTACTTTTCAAAGGTGCCAATGGCGGAAAATGGTGAGTTCTAAATTTCTAATGTTATGCGAATTTTAGTATCTCTTTTAGGGAGTAAATTGGTCTAAAGCCTGAGACGTGGATAGTGAATTCGCCATTGATCTCACCAAATTCCTGTTCATGTTTGTTTATTCAAATACTGATTCATTGTTGCTGCCATTGCTCATATACAGAGCTAGCTGCTGCTGTCCCAATTACGGAAGTAGTAGGGAAAGGTGATTATTTTCGATTTGGTATGAGGGATTCTCTTGCAATAGAGGCATCATTCTTGCAGGTTATACCATTTGCTTCCATTGTTGTTCTTGAGGTTTAACTATTGCTTTGGTGACATTTACTGATGCTGATACTACATATACAGAGAGAAGAGGAGTTGCTCTCAAATTGGTGGAAAGAGTATGGTGAATGTAGTGTAGGTCCAAAAGGGTCACTTTCATCCATTCCCGAATCAGATCCACAATCATACGATCTACCTTCCAGTCAATCAAGCAAACTATACACAGATGAAGAAGAGAGAGTTGGTGTCCCTGTGAAAGGAGGCTTGTATGAGGTGTATTTCTTGACATTGTTAGTATATCATATTAGCCCTTTAGTACAAGATTACACATTTACATGGTTTCTTTACTTCCTTGTTGTATGTTATTACTGTAGGTAGACTTATTAAGAAGACATAGTTTTCCTGTTTATTGGAATGGAGACAATCGGCGTGTTCTAAGAGGCCATTGGTTTGCTCGTAAAGGGAGTCTTGATTGGCTTCCACTTCGTGAAGATGTTGCTGAACAGTTGGAGTTTGCTTATCGTGGCAAGGTATTTGTTAAAAGATCTCTAATTTCATTATTTTTAAGTGCATTTGATTCAACTCTTTTCTTTTTATCACTTCAAGTTGACATTATTTAAAGTGAAACAAAACATCATGGCTTTATTTAGGTTTGGCACCGAAGAACATTTCAACCATCTGGATTATTTGCAGCCCGGGTTGATATGCAAGGGTCTACCCCAGTATGATATTGCTTTATGCTAAATTGCTACTTAGGACTTATAACTATTGTTATCTTTTTTATGTAATGACTGAGCTTTTTACAGGGGCTACATGCCCTTTTTACTGGAGAGGATGATACATGGGAGGCTTGGCTATATATTGGCTTATCTGGATTTGGTAGCATGGTTAGTTTTGGAGTGACTGGACTTAAGTTGAGGCGTGGGTATGCTCGATCACAATCAGCAAAGCCAACCCAGGTGTTATTTTGCAGCAAGTTTTTTACATCAATGAATAATTGATCATTTGAATCATATTTTGAAATAATATGTCCAGTATTCGTTATTTTATATGTTCAGCAGAATAACAGAAGACATACATTCAAGTTTGAACAAATGCCAAAATTTCCAACTTGTACATGAAATGCACAAATTTTTTATTTTTGCATTTCACATGTTTATTTGTGCTGTTTACATATATAGTGATGCATTAGATTCTCAACTTGTACATGAAATGTTTAAATTATAACATGAAACTCACAAATGTTTCATTAATTGTATGTGACTTCATTTAGTTACTTGTGCATTCTGATGTTTATTCGTTTGTTTATGCTGTTATGAGTTCCATTTGTGCTTTAATAAACGAAAGTAAGATGCTATAATAAACAAATCAAGGAAATTACATTGCTATTTCTTGCATTTAAACTGAAACTTTTATATCATAGTTGATAACTTTTGTTGATAGGATGAGTTACGCCAGAAGAAAGAGGAAGAAATGGATGATTACTGCTCACAGGTATATCTGATACATGATATATCTTATACATGAATATATTATTTATATATTTTTATTTAAATTGATACAGGTCCCAGTTCGTCATTTGGTATTCATGGTTCATGGCATTGGTCAAAGTTTACAGAAAGCAAATTTGGTTGATGATGTTGGCACTTATCGCCAAGTTACAGAAAGCCTTGCTGATTTGCACCTAACAAATTATCAGCGTGAATCCCAAAGAGTTCTTTTTATTCCATGTCAGGTAATAATAATAATATAATAATAATATACTTTTTTTGTATCTGGAAAATTGGTTAATTTGTTATGATCCAACAGTGGAGGAAGGATTTAAAGCTGAGTGGTGAATCTGCTGTAGAAAGATGCACATTACCTGGTGTACGTGGATTAAGGGTGACATTGAGTGCAACTGTTCATGATGTGTTGTATTACATGAGCCCAATCTATTGCCAAGATATCATTGACTCGGTATTTTCTTGTAGAATTTTTTATTTATTTTATGTTTTTGTAGTATTAATTTATGTAAAATGGTGCAGGTTTCCAACCAATTAAACAGGTTGTATGTGAAGTTTCTTAAGAGGAATCCTGGTTATGATGGAAAGGTACATGACATGTGATAAATAATTAAATATTTTATTCTTATGTTGTTTTTTTTTGTGTAGGTTTCTTTATATGGTCATTCATTAGGAAGTGTCCTCTCTTATGACATACTTTGTCACCAAGAGAAACTTTCATCCCCGTTTCCAATGGAATGGCTGTATAATGACCATAATACCCATGAAATTTCTCCCGAGGGCAATTCATCTTTGAATTCAGGGGATGAGGATTTAACCACAAACAACGAGGGTGTTTTGGTAATTCCTCCTGTAGAGGGTATTGCAAGTGTTGACACAGAAGCTATGCTCCCTGAAACACATGATTCGGATGAATCCACAAATGACAAGGGTGTTTTGGTAATTCCTCCAAGTGCTGACACAGAGGCTATACTCCCTGAAGCACATGCTCAAGAGTCTGAGAAGAATGATGATTTGAATGAATCCACAGGCAGCAATAGTGAAGCCATAACAAATCAAATTGATGAGGAATTAAACGAAAATGATGAAGATGTAGTGATCAGATCATTGAAGGAAGAGGTCCTTCTGAAGTTTAAAACTATCCCTTAAATGATTCTTTGTTTTACTTTTATCCTAATTATTTGTGTTTTTACTCTTGCAGATTGATATGTTGAATGCCAGAATTAAAGAATTAGAATCACACAGTGTCAAAGGTATGGTTTCATGGGTTTCAATTGTATTGGTTTTTAGCAGTATCATGTTGTATTGATTTGTTATGAATTGTATTTTTAAACAGAAAATAAGCAGGGAGCTTCAATTATGACAAATGAAAGTGGCTCTAAGAGTTCTCAATCTTTGAAAAATGAAACAATGAAGAGTTATAGACCTTATATAAAGTACACCAAGTTGCTGTTCAAGGTAACATTATGATGTATTTTGCTTTTGTGTTAAATGCAAGAAATATGAATTTAGTTTCATATATTTGTTCATTATAGCATAAGAAACAAATAAATCAAAGTAGAATAGAATTCCTTAATAAGAAAATAATGGGAAGTACAATGCCATTGCCAGGTTGATACATTCTTTGCAGTGGGGTCACCTCTTGGTGTATTTCTTGCCTTGCGAAATATACGTATTGGAGTTGGTAATTTTTGTCTCATTTCCTTTATGATTTATATAAATTAATGTTAAGTAAATTAGAATATAACAATATAAAATTTTCATTTGTTATTTTCAGGTAGAGGAAAAGATTACTGGGAAGATGAAACTATAAATGAAGAGATGCCATCTTGTCGCCAGATGTTCAACATTTTTCATCCTTATGATCCAGTGGCATACAGGTATTCATAAATATCTCAAATCCCTTTCCTTATAGTAGTAATTTTTTAGAATTGTTTTGTTAACATGAAATAAACTTATGTTTCTGTTCAGAATAGAACCACTTGTATGTAAAGAGCATATTGATAGGCATCCAGTCATTATTCCTTATCACAGAGGTGGAAAAAGGCTGCATGTTGGCTATCAGGTATAGGTGCATGTTAGACTGACAATTGTCCCACATGTGATGTGCATTTTAGCGTTCGTTGTAAAAATCCTGATAAGTTACACCGCAGGAATTTGTAGAACAAGTCGCATCACGCTCCCAGGTGGTGGCTGACAACATTAGCCAATTAAGGGTTAGTTACAAGCTTTCTCTTTGGGCTATTTTCTATGATGAGGATCACAAGGGCATTTTAGTCCTTTTGCATATAGATGAGATCAAGAGCTTAAAATTGCAACTTTAACCTGTTTGTGACAAATGGGCCCCACTAATTGTTTGTTTACTGATTGTAGGTTAAAGTACTGACAGCATGTCAATCAAGGGACAGTGATGGGCAAGAAGGTAATTTTGAAGTAAACTTAGTCCTATTTTTTACTTTTACATTAATGTCATTAATTAATTTTATGTATTTTTTTTTGGGGGGGGGGGGGGGGGGGGTTAACAGAAACATCAGAGGAAGCAGAAGAAAGAGGGAGACCGTATGGTGCGATAATGATGGAGAGGATAACAGGGAGTGAAGATGGGAGAATTGATCATGTTCTTCAAGTATGTATTTTCTTTTTGGGTTAAATGGAAATGTACTTCCATTTGTTTGTTTATTATATTTATTTTAAATTTTGAGAATGCAGAATAAAACATTTGAGCATCAATACATATCAGCTGTAGGGGCTCATACGTAAGTCATGCCATGCTTTTCAAATGATTTTTCCTTTCCAATTTTTTTCTCTTGTTAAAGCCTTTTACTTTGGAAAAAATCCACCAATAATATATAATTGGTAGAGATTTTTCAAAGGAAATAATTCTGCTATTTGTTGCAGAAAATACTGGAGGGACCCGGATACTGCACTGTTCATATTGAACCACTTGTATCGCAATATACCAAAAGAAGCAAGTAAAAAAAACACAAACAACACTAGCATTACAAATCAAGAACGTGATGAAAATTGGGAAGAGGTGTCTGATGATGAGCAACTTTCTTTAACTTTTGCTGATGAGAAGTTCATTAGGCAGTTCTCGGATAAAGCCAAAAAGCTCACAGAAAACTGAATCATGCCGACTTTCCCTCTTGATCTGTATATAATGTAAAACCGCATAAGCCCCCTTTTTTCATTAACCAAATATTTGCCAAATTTGTATCATTTTCCTGACTTGCACTTTTTCATTTCTTGACTTACCCGTTTTGTTTTGTTTTGTGCTCTAGGTGAAGGAACTTTCAAATTTTGCTGAAGATAAGAAACACAGAAATACAAGAGCATATGTAGAATTCTGACAGATGGCTAATAAAACGATACAGAAAAAAAAGTTAGAAAAGAAAAAAAAAACCATTTGGAAATGGAAGAATGAAATGTTGTATTTTGTGCTTCAAAAGTTGTACGATAGGTAGGGGTGATGGGGTTGAGAGACTTGAGACCTATAAGGATTGTATGTACTTGGATAAATGCTTGTATTTTGTTGTGTTAGTTAAATGGTTTCCAAAAGTTAGTTGACAAAATGAATATGGTAAAATTTGACCCTTTTAGCTTAAATTGTTTAGAAAAAACATTCATATAATTAAAACTTGAAGAATGACATAAAGAGAGTAGCAATCTTTTTCTTTTTGACATCATTAAATTTTCTTTTTCTTGCTTATTATAGCAATTAACAAGCTGAAATGATACAAAAATTACCACTATTACCTTATATTAGTGGCTTATTATTATTATTATTATTATTATTATTATTATTATTATTATTATTATTACCACCGACGTAATTACATGAAATGGCTAATCTCTTAAATGAGTAAACTATTGATAAACCTTATAAATAAACTGGAAAAAAAATCATTTTTTAACTTTTTATATTAGACCCCTCTATTTCTCTCTAAATTACAAAACGTCACAATTTAACTTTATTTATTATTATTTTTCCACTTTCACCTTATCCCTACTCACGGTTGTAACATCATAAAAACCATAGTAAAAATTTTCATTTTTTTAAGACTCTTTAATGATCCATAAACCATACAAAAACATTGTTTTCAAGAACATAGTCAAAATCAAAGCATCTCAAAATCATCAATCAACGAAATATCCAAGGATGATGTGCACAATCACGCATTCGTCTTGCCCCGATCATCTGATGTACCTGAAACCATGAAATCAAAACTATAAGCACAGAGCTTAGTGAGTTCCCCCAAAGTACCACACACAATCCAACAGATAACAACATGCATAGATGAGCCTTCAGCCTGACTGAAACGCCTCACAGGCCTACATCCTATCTGGACCGCTCTCCGAGCCTTCAGCTTAACTGGACCGCCTCGCCGGGCCTACAGCCTATCTGGACCGCCTCACCGGACCTACAGGCTATCTGGACCGCTCTCCGGGCCTTCGCCCTGACTGGACCGCCTCGCAGGGCCTGCAGTTTATCCGGACCGCCCCGAGTATCTTGGCCTTCAGCACAAAGCAGGACCGCCTCAACCCAACAATAACAATAACATGTCGACATATACAGTAACATTCAATAGCCAGCAAGTACAGGTAATCATGACAAATCTACTAGTCTAACATATATCCAACGAATGCAAGCAATCATACGAATCTACCAATCTAACATATATCCAACGCATACAGGTAATCATACAGATCTACCAGTCTATCATATAATCAGCATAACATCATCCAATATACCAGGATACATAATCTAGTGGGTCGGCATTGGTGCCTTCGACCCACAAGTACAGTGAAGAAAACTCACATGCACAATTCAACAGAAGCTCAACAACTACCTTAGCAACAACATAGCCAACCCAAGCTTCTTAAAACCAAGTTGAGACCAATCCTTAGCCAAATATTCAATTCTACCCCAGTTTGACTAAAAGTTAAACTGGTCAAAAAGTCAATGGTCAAAGCTAAGGTCAATTTGCCAACAATAACTCTCCACGTTGTGGCCTTCCTTGGCCACGTCGTGCGCACTAAATGCCAAAATAGTCGTTGATTCCCTAGTCTCCACGTCGTGGTAGCCTAAGGCCACGTCGTGGGGACTAGTCTGAACAACTCAAACAAGCTTAATCCATTTTCTTCCGATTTCAAAAGCTCCAAAGCTCATATCTGATCATTTCCAAGGTCTTAATGGATAAAGTTTCTAACTTTATCCATTAGGAAGATCCAAACCACCAAGATATGGTCTTTAAGTCTCAAAAGGGACCAAAATGCATCTTTCTTAACTTAATCCATTAAGTCAAAGTCTCCAACTTTCATATCTGAATCAACAAGATGTCTAGGTGGATATATTTTCCAACTTTATCCATAATAATGCCACAATCTTCCAAGATCTAAACTTTAATACCCCAAAATGGCCTTAAGGACCAAGATAACTTGCATGGCTAAAAGGGAAGGCAAAAGATCACAACTTTCCTAGCCCATGAGGTCCAAGAAGCATTCTAAGCTGATCAAAAGATGTTGGAGTCCACTCAACTCCAAGATCTCCCATAAAATGGACCAAAAGTGCCAAGAATACCTCAACTTTTTTGAACTTGACCACCATGTCATCGATGTAGACTTCCATGGTGTCCCCCAGTTTCTCTTTGAACATCTTGTTGACCAGTCTTTGGTATGTTGCACCTGCATTTTTAAGACCAAATGGCATGGAAATATAACAACAGATACATGTTGGAGTTATAAACGTTGTGTCCTCATAGTCAGAGGGTTCCATCTGGATCTGTTGGAATCCTGGTAATGCATCCATGAATGTTAATAATTCATGACCCGCAGTTGCGTCTATCATGGAGTCTATGTGTGGTAGAGGGAAAGGATCATTGGGACAAGCCTTGTTAAGATCCGTGTAATCTACGCACACTCTCCATTTACCGTTCTTCTTTTGTACCATGACCACATTAGCTAGCCATATTGAGAATTTCACCTCCTTGATCATCCCAATTTTGATAAGTTTTTCTACTTCTTCTTGTATAACTTGGTTTCTTTCCGATGCAAATTTCCTTCTCTTTTGGTGTACCGGTCTGAAAGATGGATCAATGTTAAGTTTATGGGTTATTATACTTTTATCAATACCTGTCATGTCCTCATGCTTCAATGCAAACGTCTTGCTTCTAGCTTTGAGGAACTTTATAAGATCATGTTCGCCCTGTTCAGGCATTGAGGATCCTATGAGAACTTTGGCTTCAGGATCCTCAAGGTTTGGGGGCACTTCTTTTATATCTTGCTCTCTTGCTTCTAGCACGTCTCATGCCCCCTACTTTAATTGATATGTTTGCCGTGGTATTGTTGAATATTTCATCGAAGTCTTGTAGCATTCCTTGGATTCTTGTTGGTCTCCTACAATCTTCACTGTCCCCCATGGGGCGGGCATCCTTACGCATTGATAATATGTCGATGGAACGACCTTCATTTCGTGGATCCATGGTCTACCTAGTATGATATTATAAGAGGATAACGTATCAGTTACACAAAAACATTGTACATAGTATACCCCTTCTATGTAGATAGGTAGCTTTATTTCGCCGACGGTGTGCTTGGTTTCGCCGCTGAATCCAATTAGCACTGAGGATCTTGCAACTATCTCAGACTCCGGGATGTTCATTCTTTTCAACGCGTCCAAGAGTATGATGTTGACTGAGGATCCTCCATCAGTGAGGATCCTTATGATAAAATGGTTAGTGATGTAGAGAGTAATCACCAATCCGTCATGGCGAGGATCATGGACGTCTTGTCTATCTGCTTCGTCGAAGGTGATCTCTTTTTCGTTTGTGATCGATGTGTTCTTCCTTGGTCCTTTTTCCTCCTCCGTTTTGGATACCTTGGCGTGCCTCTTCGCTGCAGAATAAAAGGTACCACAAATGTCGGATCCTCCAAAGATAATATTGATTACCTTGGCGTCAATAGGGGGTCCTAGTCTGTCGAGGATCTTCTGAGGATCCTGATCTTTTTCTTTAGATCTCTCCTTTCTTATTCCAAGGATTTCTTTGAGGTATCCTTTGCCTAGGAGGTAGCTGATCTCCTTCTTGAGAGCTATGCAATCCTCCATGATGTAACTGAAGTCTTCATGGTATGCACACCATTTGGACTTGTCTTTCCAAGCGGTGGATTTTTCTCCTTTTCTTGGTCATCTTGCTTTGTCTCCAAGATCCTGCATAGCAAATATTACACCTGAAAAATCCACAGAAAAACAATAGTCATTAATCTTAGAAAAATTTTCTTCCTCTCCTTCATCATCAAGGGCATTAACTCTATGATGTTCAGGTTTGAAATATGGTTTTGATTTATAGGATCTTTAGGCCGAGGAATCGGCCTTTCTATTGCGGTGATCATAAGAGCTTGGTGGGTTGCTCCTTTTTTGGATCTTCTTGTCTTCTTCGAGTATGATGAATCTCAGTGATTTGCTTCTGACTTCGTCCATCCTCCTGCATGGAGTCATTACGGGGTGTTCATATAAATGTGAATCTTTTTTAAGCCCATTTTAAAGGCTTCGACTACAGTTGCCATGTCGATGTTGGGGATACTTAGGGCTTCCCTGCCAAACCTGTTCACAAAAGTCCTAAGGTATTCCTTAGGATCCTGGACCACCCGATAGAGATCACTAGTGATATTTTCGAATGTTCTGCTACAAGAAAAATGGTTATTAAATAAATTAATTAAATGTGAAAATGATGTAATAGAATAGGGAGGAACATTAAGAAGCCATTTTAAAGTTGATCCTGTGAGGGTTGAACCAAAACCCTTTAACAGGCAAGCTTCTTTCAAGTGGGTGGGGACGAGAATGATCTCCATCTTTTCTCTGTATTGTGCCACATGCTCTTCAGGATCCGTAGTTCCGTCATAAGGCTTCATGCTCGGGGTCTGAAAGCACTTTGGGACTTCGGTATCAGTTATCACTGGAATGAATCTGGAGATCCTGTGGCTTGCGGGGGATACTTTCGGTACATGCTGAATTGCTCCGGGTACACTTGAGATCATTTGTCTTAGTTGTTGGAGTTCCATAGCCTTGATCGGGCTTAAACCTGTATCAAGATCCATTGAGTTAG